CACAAAGACACAGCCACAACCACAACTACAAACACACAATCACAAAGACACAACCGCAACCACAACCACAAACACACAATCACAACCACTACCACAACCACAAACACACAACCACAAACACACAACCACAAACACACAACCACAAACACACAACCACAAACACACAACCACAAACACAACCACAACCACAGCACACAACCACAGCACACAACCCGAGGACCCACAAGCAACATCAAGAACTACAATACTAACGACTATGGCAACATGCTCCTCACTATGGCATCAAGACAAATGATTGAAATGTCATGGTGGGGATCACTCGAAGTAAAATATTTTTTGTTTTTTGTTTTTTTGTTGTTTTAGTATTCTCTCTAAACTGGGATAGGCTTGGAAATTGATCAACAAATAGCTCAAAACCTCAGTTTTGGAGAGGTTTTAGCCAAAAATCACTGTAAAACACAGTGTTTTTGCTTCATTTAAGTTTAACGGTGGAATTTGATTTTAAATTGTATTTCAATTGATTTTGGTATTAGACTTCAATTAAACCGCTTTCAGAATTAGTGGTGGAAGTTGATTTCTCATTAGCTTTCTATTAAAAATGTGTTTAAGATTAATTGCGGATTTATTACAAACTAAGTTTCATTTATGTTCAAAATCATTGGGAAAATTGATTTTTATATTAGATTTCAATTAACATTTCTTCAAGATTACTATAGAAAAACGAATGTGTAATTCAACTTCGATTAAATTCCGTTTTCAAGATCATTGTGGCATTTTATTTTGAATTAGACTTCAATTAAAATCCTACTATATTTCATTGTAGAAATTAGGCATTACTTAAATGTCAATTAAAGTCCTTTTCAAAATCATTGTGGAAATTGCTTGTTTTGTTTAGATTTTAACTTAGTTTCTTTTCAACATAATTTGATTGAATTGCTTGTGTATTGGATATCAATCAAGACCCTTTTAGAATTGATTGTGGAAATTAATTTTCAGTTAACAGTTGATGGTGGAAATCAATTCTTATAATTAGATGTTAGTTAAAGTCCTTTTTATTTGATGTTGCCTTGTAGTGGGGAGAAAACAAATACAAAATCAATTCAAGTTAGTTAAGCATCACAATTTCCACAATTAATCTTACATCGATTTTAAACACAATCTGATATTATATCACAGCCACCACTAACTTTGAAGAGGACTTTAACTAAATCTAATTGTAAGAACTAGTTTCCACAATGAGTTTTAAAGAGAACTTGGAACGGATTTTTATTGCAATCTAATATCAAAAAAATAGCAATTTCCACCATCAATGTTAAAAGGATATTGATTGAAATCTTGTAATTTAAGTTTACCTAATTCTATTTTAATTCTAGTTTAGTTGGTTTAAGAAAACACATGTTACAAAACCCTATATTTTACAGTCTGTTTTTGCCCTAGGAGTGCTGGGAATAAAACAAAAACTAAGTTTTTGAGTAGATAGTATGTGTTTAAAGTAATCCCTTGGAATAGTCATTGCTATATTAAAACTGCTTTATGTACAAGCTTCTAATTCAAAAGGTTCCCTCTAGATCTGATCACTTCTGTGAAAAAGTATAAAGCTTTCCTTTGAAAAGCTTTCCTCTGGATCTCTGGAAATAGTCATGGTATTTTAAAAAAGCTATAAGTATGTATGTAAGTGTTTCTTTCAAAAGCTTTCCTTCAATGAAACTACAAAAATCGAGGAAATCTACTTCCCAGAGATCCAAAGGAAAGCTATTGAATCTAGAGATGTATAGTATTATATTTTCATTCGCTCATGATGCTACATTCATTGTGGGCAAAGAGAGGTTTACCTGATAATATTTATCATTGGTGTTGCACATTGATAGTGGGCAAACGAAGAGCTGTTATTTGTTGTCATTGACATTGGACATGGAGACTGGGCACAAGCAAATCAACAAAATTGTGTTTCGCCTAGTTCTCAGAGCAGTTTTTGAAATTTTGCACGGTATTTACAGTGTTTTCTAAGGGTTTTGAGCTAGTGTCTGCTCTCCCAAGCACACCCACCCTCTAATTTAATGGGTTATAAGCGTACTTGATGAAATGCAGAATGAAATGAAGAACCCCATGCAAAAACAACGCACTCACACACCCGAAACGAGATCAATGTGAAAGCAACCATGCCCATTGTATAACATGAGTACAAAAAGGATGTATGATCTATGTATATATATACATACACTTACAGTATGATATATTGCATTTAGGCAGGAATTTGTTCTTATGGGCTACAGTACCCAAAGCAATCAAACAAGTGGTCAATGTTGAAACTTGGACTGTGAGACAAAGATGAACAAACATGTGTTTATTTTTGCCTGACAAGTAATATGGTCTCAAAGGGAAAAGAGGATGCAAAAGGACAATTCAAGTGTACACACACATCCAGAATCTCCAAAAGACTCACCAATGAACAGGCAACAGTTTGAAGCCTAATCATCGAACTTCATACTTTCGCTGGACCCTGCAAATGGGACAAAAAAGGCCCACTCAAAATAGCCCAGCTGTCCTCCTCCAGATTCTTCAATCGCAAGCCCTGGCACATCAGCAAATGGAATGCACTTGGTCGGGGGACCAAGCTTGGATGACAAACATGTCTGAGAGCAAGAAGACCTCGCGGGCATGATGTTTTTGGCTTCCGAGTGGTGTGGGCGCCCAAACTCTAGAAACAGCCAGAGTAATTCCACAGGCGTTCGGTGTTGTTTTGGTATCCCACATGTGTGTTTCCTTTATGACTATATTTTACATAATGTGAGCAGAAGGTGAAGAGATTTATAGACCCCTATATGACCAAACGATCCAAGCCTGATCCAAGTCTGATCTGTTCGGGGACCGGGGACCCGGCAAAGACTTAAAAGTCTCCATCAATGACATTACATTACATTGTCTTCGTCTTGGGGGCCTATTGAAGTTGTCAGTCCATTGTCTACAAAAGCTAGAGGCTTTGTCTCTAGATACTTGCATTTAAGTCTGTAGCTACATTGTTTCTACTCGATTGACGCCACACATCTTTCCCACAACTCTTTGACAACTTCGACTCGCCCCGGTCCTTCAACCGAGCCATGGAATTCTGAGCCCCTTGGACTGACTCACCGACGGCTTGGTGACAGTTCCGCACCTCTTCCAGCTTGCTGCGGGATCTCTCGGACTCGCGATCTGGCGCGGACTCTCGAGGAGGAGAGCGTGGTTGTTCTCAAAATGGAGTGCATGGTCATCAAACGCTCATAGTGGAACAACAATCAAGGGACCAGGGATGAACAGTGGGGGTTTGTGTGTTTTGCGTGCTTCAGAATGGTCCACCATTCCAGTCAATCTCAACAGTCCACGCTGCTGAACAATCAAAAAGGACCAAAACCGTGGTCTCACTTCGTTCATGAAACCGACTGACTTACAAAAGGGTTTTAACACATATATAGTGTGTATATATATATATATGTATACAAAATTATATAATATATCACAAAGTGTCACAACGAAAAACAACTACTGGGAGAGGAGTCCACAGCAAGTTCTTGGGGCACGAGTCTTCACCCCAAGCCCAGTTCCGTGAAACGGCAAACATGTGAAACTGGCTGCAACTGCCCAATAGCGGCGAGTAAGGTTTAGCTCTTATGAACAGTGGGCGGTGGGTTTGGTCTTTTGAACACTAATCGAGTCTAGGTCATGACGTCAAGCCTGCACTTGTTTCTTGATTCATTGATGTGAGCTAGGTTGCAAAACAAAAGCACTAAATGGTTTGGACCGAAAAAGGGACTTTGTTCTTTCACCATGTCGACGAAAAAGGGCTGGTTTATTGGTTGCTTTAGTGTGATCGCATGGTAGCTTAACACACCGGAGATGTTCGCCTCTCAGTGTGGATCGCCTTAGGACGAATTCTGCCTTCGGACGAAAGAACTAGGCTCTCCTGACACGAAAGATTTGCATTTGTGTACTTCATGCAAGTGGCAAAATCACCCATCAGTCAAGGAGTTCAGAAAGGAAAAGCACCTGCTTGTGGCTCAAACAGGTCAGAATGGCAAACTCTTTCCTTTTGGTCAAACTGCCTGGGCTGGGGATCCACAAGATGGCGATCAACAGCACGAGCCGTTGGTTGGACACCATCGTGCCATGCTTGAGAAAAAAGAACATGATTTGTTTCTTGGTATTTTACAAAATGAGCTTCTCTGGCGACATGATGCCCAAGACAGTACAGGAGACGCAAAAGAAATGGATGGTTTTGGGGACTGCAAATTCTGGAGACCAAGATACAACAGGTTGCCACTTTGAGAAGTCTCATCTCTGGTGACAACATCGTAGATTTGCAAACGACCCGGGGACGTGACCTGAATCTGAAATTGGAGCCCCCCTTCCCAATCGCAACTAGTTTTCTGAAGAACTCTTCCTTCAACCGACTGTATTATACAAAAGCTCAATATAATTCTTAATTTGTAGAATGAAGACCTCGTGGGGACTTACAAAATCTGATCTACTGAGCCTTTTGAGTGACTCCCTCCCTCCTCCGAACAGAAAGCCCATCCCCCGACTACTGGAAGACGCACCCAAACTTACGCACTTTGATGACTGGTGCTCGCAAATATTGGGATATCTTGTGGTTGTGGGAAAGGAGGCCTTTGCGGCATAGTCAGGTGTTCATGAATGCAAACCCAATCTTCTCACTGTTAAGGGTCGCTTTCAATTCGCTCCAAGCGCACAAGGTTCCACCGTCCAAGAACGACAGCCGTTGCCTCTGCTGCATCACTTTCAGCTTTTCTTGGTAGTCTCGCAGTCGTTCTTGCAGGACCTTGTCGCAGTCGGGTGGCGCTTGAACTGTCGGTCTAAGCGGCCATAGACTCAACTATCTAGATCTAGCATGATCTATCTATCAGTATCTATCCAACCCGTGTATATATATACACTTATACACAGTAACACTGTATGTATATATATATATGAGCGTCAAAGCAATAAGTGCTCACAAGTCGGTTTAGCTTACTATGTTTTCTTCTACCTTGCAGTGAGCTATATTCAACCATGTTTATTTCCTGCAAACTCCATGTGCATTTATTGAACACCAGTTGCAAGGATATATTGACCTCAAAGAAACAAACACAATCAAGTTAATATCTCTTCTGGGCTGTACCGCCTTGATTTGTCAAGATCTGAGACAAGTCAACATTTCCCATGTAGCTGTGTTTTAAGATGAGAACACTGGTGTCCCTGAAGAATCAATCGGTATTTAAAAAGGAACAGTCGTCACCATCAAAACAAATATCTGCAACACCACTACGAGCAGCTGCCATGTGGAATGCCTCCTACAAACCGCACAAACAAGAGATGCGGAAACGCTCGGACAAGAGTCTACTGGATCAGTATAGAGATTTGTTCCAAGGCAAAGTTGGGCCATCCGGCTGTTTTGCCCCAATGTGAAGTTATTGATTAACCCCTCCCCACTTGAATTGGAAGTCCTCCTCTTCATATTGGGGGTTGACATACAATATAATCAAGAGTTCTTATGCTTGATGTTCAACTCCCGTTTTCACCCCCCCCAAACTGTTCTCCATGAACTGCAAGTTGGTTCCCCACGGAAAAAAAATACCCGGCAGGTGGGTGCAATGCATGCTTTGTCGGTGAAATCATTTAATTAATCATATTCAAATGACCTCAAACAATATTGATCTATATCAGCCTAATGATATTTAGCATGAAATACTGTTCGCCAAATTACATGGATACATTTTTCTTCGAAGCCCCAAAAAGAGACCCGTCATGCGGAACGCGCCGGTTTGGACCCTTTTGGAGTCGCTCGACTGCTGGAGGTCTTTCGCGCGGTCGGCCGACCGGTCGGTCTTTCGTGCGCCTCCACGTCATCGAGCAGCCGGGGGCGATGCTCTTTGCACACCTGGAGTGGAAGTGACCAAATCATCTGATGGAAAGCTGTCTTCAGGCTTTCAGAAAGTTGAAGGATGCAAAGTATCGGATTCTTATCAGTGGAAAAGCATTCAACTACCCGCGACTGGGCTTCAAAGTCACGTCGTGGAACCATCTGTCCTTCTGCTCATCACATCCACAAAGCAACCCACTTACACACGACATGCTTTTCCAAAACCATGACAATCCTGTATAAAATATAGAATATCTAGCTTTGCTTGTGTTTCTACAACCGGGCTGGGGGAGCTTGAGGACACACCGGGTTTGATTCAAGGGTGGGTATGATTCAGCGCTGTGACTCGTTCCTGTGACACTGTGACACGTCCTACCCGGGTCCTACCCTTTTCTTGTTCTTAAATAATCTTAAATACCCTTACATACCCTTAATAAATCTCAATAAAGGATCAAAAGTTCAGACAAACAGTTACAAAACCTCTAAAACCCTTCACTCCTGCCACTTCGTAATTCAGATTCTCTATGATTCTCTCATGGGCCCTGACAGGGCAGTGCATGGCATTGCTGCACCTGCCCTGACATTCTTGAAATCAAGATGTTCCTCTTTTGCTGAGAAGGAACACATATCATACAGTAATCATACGCTACCAGGCTCCCGGATCTGACCACGGATCTAAACCAGCTTTCCTGTATCGGCCACACGGAACAACCGGCCTGAGTAGTCCAGAAGGGAAAATCCAGGGTGAGAGTTTCAGGCACCTCCTAGATTCCTAGATATCTCTGGAGCTTTTACCAAACCTTAATCAGGGCATAGTATGATGTCATACCCTGTCACATAGGGATCTAATTTAAAACATAAAAGAACAAACACAACTCCTAGACCGATCTGCAAGGGCCCAACGGCCCGCCGTCCTTAATCTCCAAGGCCGCGTGCTCCGTGACCGGGCCCAGCAGCAGCTCCAAACGGGCCGCCAGCCTCAACACGTCCGCCCAACTGCACCCGTCCGCAACGCGGACGCATTCGGACGGTCATCTTGAAGAGGTGAACCCACGCAGGTTCATCCACCTTCTGAGTTCATTCGTTGTGAAATTCACTTTGCTCCTACTAGCGATGCCCTTTGCTCCTAGTAGCGTTCTTGCTCCTAGTAGCGATGCCAGGAGCCCCTAGTAGCGTTCTTGCTCCTAGTAGCGATGCCCCTTGAATCTAATGAAGGTCAGGTGTTTCTTTTTGTGGAGAAACAAGCATGTGCAAGCAGAATGTTCCATGCTTTGCGTGTCCAACACCGGTGAGTCTTTGACTGATCCAACAAGTCTGAGCCTTGGCACAACCTTTTCACCCTATGCAAAGGAAGCAATCGAGGTAGCAACATATAGTAAACAATATCAATCCTTCCTGCAATGTAGTTTTAACACACTGGCCACTGCTTGACATGACTGTTGCAACATGCCACGGAATTGACAAGTACAAAATGATGTACTGGCACGAGAAAACACAACATTGATAAATTTAGTTTAACAAAAAACGATCTGAAGATTGAGTCTGTGCCAAGTTCGGGTGTACAGCTATCTCCGAAGATTTCTGGGTGTGCAGTTCTGGTATTTCCATGCCTTGCGGGCGACTCACTCTGCAGCTTCATCAACACCACCTGAGCAGAGTTGAACGTCGTGATGTACAGTAGTACAGATTACAGAAGGTGTAAACAACAACTTCCAGCGATTAACACCATGCAAGTGGGGGCAACATATGGCAACATCTAAAATGCTATGAAATGAGTTTGTTGCTCTGACAGTTCCAACTGTTCCACCACGATTCTTGGCGCACTGCACCAAACCATGACCCAGCCAGTCGCTTTTGGTGGCAAAACTGACCAGGTCTCCATCACGAAAAGAGTCTTGGGGAAAACTGTGGTTGTGAATTCTGTCAAAATCCGAAGCACATCTTCAAATTTGAATCACTAATGGTTTGTCATTGTTTCCCTCAACCGTCAGACTCACAATGTGACATGACTTTGACACCTTGTCAACAAGCCAGTAGTGAAAGTGTCAACAAGCTTGCTCCGAGCCGAGTGTTCTGATAAACACCATTGGGTTGACTTGTGATTGAGGCTGTTACCTGCATGTTATTGTAAATGCAAGCAAACGATATATATATATATATCTTGCCATGCCGCGGCCATGCCCGCTTACCTCCAAGCACTGCAAGACCATCGCAGCTTTGCTGTTCGGCCTGACAAAGGAGCCCCCCAAACCTCTTTCACGGCCATCCCATGCCATTCCTATCAACAACACTGAAATTTGTGGATCGAATGCCCTGTTGTAGTATATTATATGGCTGTGGCCTGAAACTGAAATGTACATGTGTTATATATAACCTAACAAAAACTTATAAATACATAAATAATATGTGTCAAAATTATGTAATATTTAATATACAAAGGAGATTGACCTTTCAAACAAAGATGTGCAGACCAAGGAACAAACCGGAACAACTGGAGTCCTGGAGCATCTTCTTTCCCGAACGGCTTTCGATGGAGAATGCTATCGGGGTCCGGAGAATGCTAACTGGGCAACCAGCGCATGCCTGATTCAAGCATGGCGCTGAGGGCTTTCATAAACTCTCAACAACTCGTGATCAACAACTCAATATGATAGGGAAAACAGAGTCCCACCGTCCCACCCCCGGCAACCCTGAAAGCTAGACCTGTATGAATAATATCTGTGATGACGATCTATTTTGTATGGAACTAGCCAAGAAGGATTCAGGATCTGCTGAAGATATAGGCATGACTTTGCAATTCATATTTTTTAGACCTTTGTTGTTTCTATATGTATACCCGCCCGCCCACCGCACCCACCTATGCAAGTGGGGGCGCAGTTCGAATACATATATATATATATATCATGTCAAATTCATCATATATAAGTCCAATTTGCCAAGGCAAACGCACATTTCCACCATACAAGTCTTTGCACGAGTGGCATGTGTGTGTGGGAGTTTCAAAACATGATGGTCGTTGTTTGCGTGTGGTTTAACAGGATCGAAACAACCTGCTTCATTGCTTTACACCGGGCTGTGTACAAGGTTGCATCACTCTGATCGAAGAATTTGCACAGCTGTCACAATACTTCAAAATAGTAGATTTGAATTCGTGAAAGACAAACTTCCACTACACAGAAAAGACCTCACCAAACTCCCCGTGTATAGTATACGCTCTTGCTGTGCAGGTGGGTCACTAAAAAAGGACATGCGGCTTCACCTGCCTGGCAGCTGGAGCTTCACAAACACCTTCTGGTTCAAGCAGGTCTTTGACCTGAGTATTGTGACAAGACTGAGGCCTTCCTTTGACCTAACACATTGTCCTTCTGCGGTGAACAAGATTTGTTGGACAATCACTGGTCGAAGCAACACAGGTTGACGCCGCGTCGGTGAAAAGCAAAGAACGTTTGGCTCCAAAGAACTGGGCAGCTGGCGATCTGCGCAACATCTTTGGTTGGCACTTCCTGTTCCCTCCAAGCGAAACGACAAGGGCACCAAGCGAAACGACATGTGTCTCGCTCTCGCTGAAGCGGACTACCACCGTGGAACATCCATCTTGCGGCTTGCGCTTCCATACATACTAGCATAGGCAACTGAGGGTGGACGGGTGAAAGCCAAGGCTACTCAGCATCTCAGTTTTGTTGGGGTATCACACACTGCTTGCCATCTGTGCTGTCCGACCTTCGTCCTTCTAGTTGAGCGCTGTGTGGCCTGGCTCACAGTGTCACGGAGATGTTTTGAGACGAACCTGGGCCCTGCACTGTTCGTGTGTGTTCAAACGAGGGAGAACTCCCAGTTCGACCCCCTACGAGAAGGAACATAGACCAGTCTAAGCATTGAGGCCAGCGGGTCTCCCAATTCAAATATGAATCCATGTGGCTACAACCTCAAAACAGTGTGGATACGCTGCATGGCACTAGTTGACAATCTGCATGCAAGAACGTGCAAATTGTTTGGTGACAGGATAGACCAGGAGAGGCGTGATCGTTCACCATGTTCAAACAAGTTGCAGTTCAATAAACCTGACATTGCTGAAATATATATATATAATTATACATATATTATCATATATTAATATAGTTTCTGCCAACTCGGAAACCAATACAGGGTCGTGCCATGCTGTGGCCAACAGTTGGCATCTCAAACTCCCGCAGTGATATCTGATGACAGCACCAACCCCGACCTCTCGGCTATTGGACAGCAGGCGTGTTTTTATGTTTTCCCGTGGGGCAGCACTGTCCAGCATTGGTTTTTGAAAGGAGCTCTCCAGCTGGCAGACTTGGCAATTTCAGATCCAATCCCATTTGGTAATTTGGTGTAATGAAAATGAGGAAATCGCAAGGCCGAATGCATGGTCTCACTGATTTGCTCTGCAAAATTCTTTCGGACCTCCTGTTTCGAAACATCCACACGGCATGCACCGATTTGTATGTATCAATATATATATCTACTGATTTCTACATTCATATATATAACTCGCACGTGCACATACCAAGATAAAACCAGGGGTGGAGGGGAAGTCGAGGCCAACACAGGTCCCACCAAGCAGGCCACACCGGCTGTTCTCGTCTGAACAAAGCCCCGCCTTCCACGAGTCGTCCGGGACTTTTCGTAGCTCGCGATGTTTGCACCATAGCGGCTGCCATGGCGCATGGTCTGAGGAGGAGTTCCGTCACTTGTTGACCATGAACATGACCTCTTCAAAGGACTGCAGTATGGGTCGGTACGTTGTCACCAGGATGAATGGTGTCTAACAACTGTGATTCTCATGCAGCCTGGCGTTCTCTCCAGCGCTCCAGCGGTGAGACGGTCGCAAACGGCTACATGGGACTGAGACTGCGCCAGTATCCATTGAAAACATGTTTGGAACCGTGAACAAAGAGAAGGTTCCACACATCTTCTAAGGCAAGATTGAAAACGTGCCAGCATATAGTTCGCACACATGACACTGAGTGTTTTGAGTCTGAAGCGCACAAAACCTTCAAGAGAACGGCACCTTAGATTCGGATCCCACAAATATGATGCCCCATGCATGTTCATCTTGACTCATCTTGTTTCTCCTTTTGAAGTTGTATGGTTTGACAAAGCATTCACTTCTCTCTTCTGTCAGGAGTCAGTTCCTTCTCCGTTTCTTTTTGATGGTTTCTCCCTGGTCCACTACACCACAGTGGTTGGCTTTGTTGGATGCACCGGCAACTTCCAAACAAGAGCAACGCCAAGGTGGAGATTTGAACCACACACTCTTTAGTACTCCATACACATGATATTCTACATATGACTTGATTGCATCCACGACGGCATCAGTACTCTATGCAAAGCTCAAAGCATTGCTCACTATCCAAACAAAACAGCCAGCACAATTGATCTAGTTGAAGTCGAAAATAAAACTATACGTATGTAAACGAAAAATACAATTACTTTACTTCGAGTCTTCCCCACCAAAACATTTCAATCTGACATTTTTTGGGGCATGTATTGAAACATTATTTCAACATTCTTTCTGGCATATCTTCTGACATTCTTTCTGCCACACCTTCTGACATTCTATCTGGCATGTGTTCTGACATTTCTTCTGGCATCTCTTCTGACAATCTGCTGACATTCTCTCTACCATATCTGCTGACATTCTTTCTGACATTCTTTCTGATATTCTTCATTCCTGGCATCTCTTCTGACATTCACTCTCACACTCTGTCTGACATATCTTCTGAATTCTTCTGACATTCTTTCTGGCATTCTTTCTGTCTCTCTCTGCATATCTTCTGACACTCATTCAGGCATTCTTTCATTTTTCTGGCATATCTTCTGACCCACGGTTGAGGTCCGGCGAGGGACACTGCCATCCGGATCTGGCGGTTGAGGTCCGGCGGGGAACACTGCTGGCGGTTGAGGTTCCGTGTGGAACACTGCCGTCCGACACTTGCGGTTGAGGACGCGGAGGAGAGAGGAGAAGGACAAGCACGGCAGTTGACATAAAATCAAACAACCCTCACCTGACAGGTGGGGAACAAACAAACAAAACAAACAAATAAAACAATCGACCTTTGGACATCACCCCATTAAATCAATGCTGGCCCCAAAATCCTTCTGTGTCAATTGGAAGTTATCCTCCCACTCTTGTGCCATGGTCTCCAAAAAAGCCACGGCCACTGGGTGCATCTGACACTCGACCTGCCCACTCCGATGCCCTCGTGGCCGGTGGGCCGTGAAAGATCGGACCTTTACAAGTTACGTCGTCTACTTTGAAGACCAAGAAGCATCGCTACTAGGAACAAAAAGCTACTAGTAGCTCCTGGGGCACATACTAGTAGCAAGAAGCTTTGCCAAGTCGCAAATGGCTTCACTGGCAAGAGCGGCGCGAATCTGGTACCCACCCGAGTGAATGGCAAAGTTATTTTATCTAATCTGTTTGTTCCACGAATACCCACAGCTTTTTGCAGGTTGTTAGAACTTTATGGAATCGGATCGTCAGGCAGGGCATATGTACAAGCTCTCCAAGCTAGAAAGAGGAGCAGTGAGTTATCAGGAATGCAAATCCGAGAAAGTCCTACACTTCAAGGATTCAATTCTTGATGTCCAACAAACTCACCAGTTTTCCACATATTTCCGTCTCCAAAAGGAGAACTTGTCAAAGAACATGCGAGAACATGGATGAATGTAGCAGTTCTTCCTGGATTCTGATGTGCCAAGGAACTTCACTCGGGGGTTTTGCAAAGAGTCAGTTCTTCTTGGTTCCTTTCTGCGTGTTCTTCAAGTGACATCTCAATCTAACTCAAGCTCTTCAGCTCCAATTCCCCCGACACAAGGCTTCCATATAAAAGGGGGGGTTCTTGGCCATAGAAGGCAATGGTTTCCTTTGTTGGGCACAGCCTATAGGGATCTATCTATCTATCCATCTATCTATCCACCTGTCTACCTGTCTACCTGTCTCCCTGTCTGTCTGTCTGTCTGCCTGCCTGCCTGCCTGCCTCACTGTCTGTCTGTCTGTCTATCTATCTATTTTGTTTGATCTAATATGATCTAATTATAACAAACAACCCAATGGTAGAACATATAACATCCAGGGTTTGACATGGAGCTTTATCTCGCAACTCTCTCACAACTCCCAGCTTTGTCTTTCGTTGGGAGAGCGTTTCACCGACTTCTGCCTACGCTCATGGCACGGCCATTGGATTCATAGCCACAGAGTTATGCTTCAGAGGACCAGATCTCATGGTCTTCCGAATGTTCACTTGCCCAGCCACGTGGGAACATGTGAATCAAACCAAGTTGTTTCTTCATCACGAAGGCAAGCTCCAAATGCGCTTGAGCTGCACAGAAAAGCTAGGACCTTATGTATATAGAACTATACACATGAATCAAACGAACTGTGTAAAGTCTAAACTAGCAATCAGTGGATGCTTTTAATTTAGTGTGGTGGACATGCCCCATGCCCCGAAAAGGGCTAAACAAGTATACCATCGGATCAGTTCTGCCAAACAAATTTCATCCAAGGCTTTTGCTGTTGTTATCTGGAACACTGACTGCGCTGTCTTGATTGAAACAATCAACAAGTATATAAACCCGACCAGTCATGAAAGAAGCCTCAAGTCCACCAACAGCGCTGGCCTCCTTGTACCACATGTTGGATTCACGAGCTTTTGGATCAACCATCATGGTGTTTCTACGTCCTTACCACTTTCCCCTTCCGCTTATAATATACCAAAAGGCCATCATCTGAGTTTGGACATTTTACGGTGACCAGGCTGCGTGACTGGTGCTAGTCCTCCAAAGAAACAACTCCTGGAGACCAAACAACACTTCACATTCGGTTGGCGTCTGGACCATTGCCGCTGCTGGTACCTCCAATCCCGCAATTTTGGTGCTGGTGTGGCAACTGCGTAAGTGCCGCCATGCAACATAGCTTGAAACACTCCATCAACTGTAAGAAGTTGAAGTTGTCATGTTATTTTGCAATGCTGTATTGCCTGCTCTTGAAACTAACTAGGATCATATCATGTCCTTTTGGCTCTACACAGGTTGACCCAAGGAAAACTTTAGTTACAAGTCTCTATAACTCTATTACCCAAACAAAAACTATTTCGACTGGCACCTTGGCTTATTGAGAAAATGGGTGAGGCATGTCAGTGTCTCCAAAGATTTCCAAACAAGCACTTTGCACAGTGTGGAGCGATCGTTCACGTGTATCTCAGAGAACCTCAGAGTCCACACTTGAAGGAATTTCCTGAAGTTCCTGAAGTGAAAGTCCTATCTTTTTCGTCCCAAACTGACACCGGGTGGGGGATGTTGGTCCGTCTTCCCTTCGACTCCATCCCACCTGCGGAGCTCGCTGAGCTGCTCTTGGAGCTCTTGGAGCTCCCAACGCCTGTGGCGCTCATTGGGCGGAAGAAGTGGGTCAAGTTGGTTTACATGGCAGATTGAAGTTGTAAGCCAAGTCTAGTTAGTAAATGCTATCGATCATACAAAAACAACTATATACATATAAAAGATCCTTTTTGGGTTAACCAGTGAACAGTGGTTTGGCTATGATAGGCTCATGGTTTGGTTTGATGGTCAGGAGTGACTTGAAGTGCCGTTCCTTTGTATTTTGGGGTCTGACATATCTTGAGAGTGTCGAGGTGGTGGCATTTCAAACGTTCAACGTGTAGAACACAACTTTGGAACGATGCAAGCCTTCATGTTCAGTGTGGATAAGCAGGATAGAGATGGATAGAGCATGGTGATGGCTCCAAACAAACACGGACAGCCTGTGGGGGGGGCAAGATCAATCCTGTCAAGACAAACTCATGCATCAACTGGTTCATGAGCTCTGCCTGAACTGGACTTGGAACTTGAACTGGTTCCGGAGCTTTCCTCCGGAGGCAAATCAGGACCAACTGCTGATGCCTTAAAGAAAATGATCCCCTAAAGGTAGCTGGGAGGTTCCGGGCCGCGCTGCAAAACCGAACCGAGCTCCTGGCCTACTGAGGAAAACCAACGAGCTCCAGGCACACCATGAGTGAAAGATCTAAGAATTCTTTGCAGAAAAACAGAAACCGTGTTAACAGGTGTTCATCCGCGTGGGCCTCAAACTACAGGGCTTTAGAGGGGACTTTGCCACGACTCTGTCAAAAGGGACAGTTTACAATAGATGATATATAATAGAAATACAGCCTAACATGGAGTAGTTCGCTAGAAAAAAGGTAAGCTGCAATTAATTGCTGGATGAATAAATGCATCTCCATCCATAGCAAGTTGGGACGTAGGTCTCTAGGTGTGTGAACCCCATCAGGGGTCAGCAACCTCCTTGGTCCCATTTTCAAGAAAGCGTAAAGACATTGTAACAACGCATTAGAGAGGTCCCACTCAATTGGTTCCGATCAAAAGCCTGGGTGCCCTCTAAATGCTGGTCTACTCTGAAACAACGTCAAACACTCGTACATGGACTCACACAAACTCCTATTTTTAACTCGGTGTTCACTTCTCCTCGCCGTTCTTGTCGTGGTCGCCATTCTTGTCGTCGCCGTGGTAGTTGGAGGCATCATGGTGGGACTTGGACGAGCCGTTGGGTGTGACCATTGCTGGACATGGCCACCCAGGTCCGTTGATGGAAAAACATCCTCAAAAACCCGCCTGCCCGGGAAAACTGCAACATCTACAACGCGGAATGGGGATCCAAGGTGGTGCAGGAGTTCTTCCAATGACATTATGTTATTTTGAGAAAAGAAACTGATAGACCATGATAGACCTCATCGAAGTAATCTCGGAAGAACCCTTCCGAAACAAAAGAGAGAGCCTGAAATAGTCCCCCCTGACCGGATCTTCATATACCCACCAGTTCCTCTGCCATATCACAGTTGGTGGACGGTGTCTCAGCGGACCGTCCATGGTTTGCTGCCAACAACTGTTGGATGTTGTCCACTTTGCAAGTTGATACTCTCGGTGTTCCAACGCTTTACTGCTCTACTTGCATGAAGTCAGTCATGTTGTTGCCAAAACAACAAATTTGACCCATTTGTTTTTAAAGTTCCAAACCAGGCAATACCAGTCTATCAGGTAGTAGGGTTCCCAACGCTGTAGCCTACAAATCGACAAAAACATGCCATTGCGACTGCTTGTGCCACTTGTGCTAACATCCAGGGCATCATCATGGCAAGTATTGCCAAAAGGTACGGAACTGAATCCATCTGAATTATACTGACACTGTACCATGTAGGGAGACTACCTCGGTGCTTGGGGGCGCTATTCGGTTGGAGGCCATCGCTTCTAGGTTGGAGGCCATTGTTATTAGGTTGGAGGCCATCGCTACTAGTAGCAAGAAGCTACTCGGAACAAAGGGCATCGCTACTAGGAGCAAGGACGCTACGACTGGGGCTCCTGGCATCGCTACTAGGAGCAGTCTTACTACTAGTAACAAGAAGCTAGTAGAAACAAGTGCATCGCTACTAGTAACAAGTGCCTTACTAGTAACAAGAAGCTATCAGGGTGGAGGCCATCACTAGTTGGGAGGACACGCTACGACGCAGTCCGAGGCTTCGGAGGATGGGGCGGATGGGTGGATCTTCGATGGGAGCCACGGAAAGCACCAGTCCGAAGTCAACCAGAACAGCATGACACATATTGTCAAGTTATGTAAGTGTTGTTATCCTAATACGTTCTTAATAGTTAAGTGAATTGTCAAGTTATCTTATCTTAATAAGTTCTGTGGGTCTTCGCGCACAAATCGAGAACGCTAATAAAGCCATGACACCCCCAGCCACAGGATATCAACAAGGATTTTGCGGAAACGTGCCCATAGTTCAACACACGTTTGACTCCTCTATAGACGCCCCATGCCGAGACTCCTCTGGGGGCTTCGGTGCGATGTGGCTGCGCGCGTCACTCGCGTCAGCCGGGCTCCTGGTGCCATGGCGTCCGGACTAGATATCAAAAGATATCCAGTGGACTCAGGATTTGTGTCACATCCCAGCTGCCAGAACCGTCCTTCCATAGCGTGGCTGAGATTATTGCAGGGTAAGGTCGGGAAGATCATCCTGTTTGACAAGTTTTTGGAGGGTGCAAACAATCTTGCACTGCACGTGCAAACAAATGAGAGTGGACAAAACTCACAATAAACCTGATAATGAAAAGCACCAAAACTCAGTGTCAGAAAGAACTAAGAACTGGAACAGAAATGCCAGAACACTCTGCAAACTCTGCAAGCAGCACAGCATACAATCATTTTCCCAAGCAATGACCAAGTGTCACTTGCAAAGCAAGGCTGTATCCTGAAACTGGTACTGGGCCTCCAAAACCCAAACACATCCAAGTTTGATGAACATTCAAGCTGCATACTGTAGATGATGGTTGATTTAATGTTTAAAACAAGTGCAGGGCGGTCGCATGGGGCTTTGCTACCGCACACTCCCAAATCATGTGAGGCAGCAGTGGCAGCGACTTACTTGTCAGCTAGAAAAACAGAGTGTAAGAGGGATGGACTGACCCGTCAACGCACACACACACACACACTTCGAACTTGGGTTTTTCAGTTAACGCAATTGTCTCAATGG